ACTCGATGGCACATAACAACAACAATAACAACAACAGAGACACTGAAACCATCATACACTGAAGAATATAAAGGTGCCACTACTTGAAACAGAATCTGGTAGTTTCTTAGTGACTTTAATGACCTGGCAATACCACTGTTAGCAACTTAACTAAAACAACAAAAACATGTTCATCAATACACGTTCAAAGCAATGGTATTTAAACAGTCAATTAATGAAAACAAATGCTTATCAAACAATGAATTGGAAAATAAGATGCAGTATACACAAAGAATTGGAAAATAAGATGCGTTATACATTCCTATGAACCTGGAGAGAGGATGAAAGGCACCCAAGCGTCCGAGGACTCTCCTTCATAGGGTTGCAATGAGTCCCCTGCGACTCCACAGCACTTAACAACAACATACTTATACATTGGATATCATTCAATATTGTAAAGGAAGTACTGATACATTGTATAAAAACACTATGCTAAGTCAAAGAAGCCAGATACAAAAGACCACCTGTATGATCTCATTTTATGAAATCTCCAGGGGAGGCAAATGTATAGACAGAAAGTAGACCAGTAATGCCAATGTCTGGGTAAGTACAGTATGAAGAAAATGGATGAGGAGGGGAGGTTTCTTAGAATAATGAAAATATTCTAAAATTAGATCATGGCATGATTAAGAACTCTATACATTAAAAACCACTGACTTATTTACTTAGCTTTAAATAGGTGAATTTAATGATCTATAAATTATGTATCAATATAGCTGTTAAAAGACAGACATTAGCCTAATAAAGACACAATTCTTACCCCAGCAGTTGTCAGGCAGGTGGTGAACTCTTTAGACAGAGCAGATAACTCTTTACACAGCACAACGGTCATCCTGGGAAAGAAGGCAGAAGAGTCAGATGGCAGTGGCTCGGTTTTTTTATCCTTTTTTTGTCTCTCTTTTTTAACAAACTATATATTTAACAGCTGTTGAAAGGAGAAAAACAACTTTTGGTAGTATATATGAAAGGGATGCTTTTCAAAATGGAATAGCTTAGCTAATGTACTTGTGCTAATGTAATGTAGTGTGCTAAAGGACTGGGGGATCCATCTGAGCATGCTTTGAGCTACAAGAATGAGGTCCTTCAGAAAGTATTTTTCTACAAAATTTTCAAGAAGGTAATATACTTTCAAGAAGGTAATATACTTTCAAATTAAATTAAATATACTTTCAAATTAAAAAAATAACTGAAATAGATTTTAAGGAGACAACATGGTACTTTAAAGTTTCTCTATTTTCCATCTAGAAATGTATTTAAAATATAGACATTCATTCATTTATTCAACAAATAATTTATTGAAAGTCTTCTACGTAACAGGAACTATTCCAAGGCACTGGGAATATATCAATAAACAAACAAAATTGCCGTTTTCATGGATTCTAACTTAACTTGCCAATTAAAAAGACTGTTCTTGTTGCTCTGTGTGTCATGGAGTCAGAACTGACTCACAGCTGATCCTCCAGTGGATTTTCAAAGGCAGTAAATCACACGGGAGGAGAATGCACATATTTTCTCTTCAAGAGCAGCTGGTGGATTTGAACCACATGCCTTTGGGATGGCAAGACCACTAGGCCACCAGAGCTCCCTAAAGAGAAGACTATGGATGTGCAAATAAAATTAATTATACAAATAAAAATATTTCATATATACATACATATATATACATATATACACATATACATACATACATATATATATATATATATATATATATATATATATATACATATATATATATATGAAAGGAAGACCCTCAACCAGGTGGACAGACACAGTGATTGTTGCAATGGGATCTTGTGTGTCAGTGAGGATAGCAGAGGATAGACACAGTTCAGATCTTTTGTTCATAGAGTCACTAAGTTGTACTCGACCTGATGGCGTCTAACAACAACGTGTGTGTGTGGTGTGTGTGTGTGTGTGTGTGTGTGTGTGTTTATCAACATGAGTTGCTTACTAAGGCAAGATAGATTTTTTTTTAATGCAGAATTATTAAAGCTCAAGGTAAACACATATCTTTGACTACTTACTTATTAACTAAAGCTCAAAATGAAGAAATCTCTAATGTGTTAATGGTGCTATGTGAATGGCAGCTTGTTGAAAGGGAAGTTTCTAAATTTCTAAACACAAGCCACAAAAAGTGAGCAATTTGCTTCAATCAGACAAACACGTTACACTTACTGAGAAAGGGCTCTGCTCCTTCCTAAGGCTGTCACTTCCTGCTTCTGACTGTGCAGAACCAAAGCTGCTGTTTTGTGGAACAGTTCAATCGCGCAGGCAGTCAATTCTGCTAGGCTCCGAATTGCAAATGCATGGATATCCTGAAGGAAAAACAAAATGAGGCTAAGAAAACAAAGCGCTGGATTTTTAACCTGTAAGAAATGTGTTTTTCTCATCCAAAAAGACTCAATGTCTTGAATGTAGCAAACTAATGTTGCTGTGTGCATCGAGTCAATTCAGACCCAAAATGGCCTTTTAGGGCAGGTAGACTGACTGCCTTTCTGAGTATTCTTAGGTTGTAGGCTTTATGGGAACAGATTCCCAGGGCTTTTCAGGTAGCAGCAGTTTTTGAGCACTTAACAATGCCCCATCAGGGCTCCCTGCTTATACTAATACCTAGAAACAACAATATACTTTTTCCTTTACTTTTACAGTAATTTGACACACTTGCAAAGAACAAAACGTTTCTGTTATGTCACGTGGTTCTATGCGACCAAGTTTTGGTTAAGGAAATCTAGGCACAAAGTCTTGTGGTAGCTTCTGTGAACCTTCCTTAGGACATAACAACACAGCACCCTTTATATCTCTTTTTCTTCACTCTTTTTATCATACAGCCTGAAACAAAGATGCTATAATCTTGGACGATAAGGCTGAATCTGTGCATAGCAGTGTAACAAAACAGAAGGCACTTGAGTCCCTGACTGGGTCCCTCAAATCTTCACAATAAAGCATTTTTGGAGGTTACCTCTATTGAACTTTTATTGGCATTTTCAGTATTTTGTATTTCCAAATATTCTTCCCCTTCTTCTTTCTCTGCCAAAGGCTTGTTCAGAGATGTCTCAATCCATTCATAGGCTGAATTTCTTGCCTAAATAAGAAAAAGATCATTGTCCATTCAATACCTTTAACCTCATGTTGTGCTAACTTTATGGAAATGATACTAATATTCTTTACTCAAGCAAATCATGTAACTTTTTAGTCCTTTTCTTACTCGACTTTTCTATACCATGTACTGTTGTTCCCGCATTCCTTGAAACTGTGTAGTCTTTTGACTTTTTAAAAACATTGAAATATAACTCACACACAGTAAAGCGTGTAAGTCTCCATGAATGCCTGTATAACTGGCAGATTGAGAGACAACTCTCATGCTCCTTCCTAGTGAACACTATTTCTCCTTCCCTCTGTCTCACTATAGATTTTACCTGTTTTAATATGTATACATATTCTATATGTTGTTTTTAGGTGCTGTCGAGTCACTTTGTGACTCACAATGACCCTATATGTACAATAACCCTAAACCCTGCTCTATCATGTGCCAATCTTACTGTATCTCACACACCGACCTCCACTGCCCTGGTGACTCTTCTGCACTGTCTCTCCACTCTCCCAAGCATGGAAGGAATGGAAATGGAAATTGCCAATGGAAGAGAACAGGTTCTAACCACAAGAAGTCGGTCCTGGAGCAGAAGTTCAAGGCAAAGGACTTTTCCTCAGAACCCTCTGAGGTAGGAAAGCCTTTCCTGATACTTGTACTTGAGATTTGTACTTAGAGACTCTTAAACTTGCAGAAAATTGCAGCAGCATGAGGTGTTCGGAATCACACAAGCCCTGACGGCTTGAGACTTAAGGCATCATATCAAAGGCTTGTTACGGGGAGAGAGGTGTTGAATGGTATAGGATGAAATGGAAAAGGATGCAAATGGATAGGGAAATGGGTGGGTCAAGACATACGTGCCAAGAGTGGGTAGTAACACTGAATCTATAGGTCATTTCTCTAATTGGGTAAATGTTTATCATCTGTTCCTTTCTGTAAAATGCTTGTCTGTCAGATACCATTCTAAAAAAAAATCATGACAGACTAGGAAGGATTGGCCATCCACTTCTGAAATAACAGGCCTTCAAAAACCCTATGTACAATGTTATACACACACACACTATCACAAATATATGCTCTGTATATACCAAAAATATGTTCTACTTTGCATATGACGTCTTTTGCACAATTTAAAGTCTGTCTGACATGGTTGTTGCATATATCAACAGTGTATTCTTATATATTACTGTGTAGTATATAAATTTTTGTGTGTCACAAAATTTATCCATTTTCTTACTTATTGCTAGTTTTTCTTGGCCTTTCAATATTCCTACCCTTTACCACTCACATGAAGAAAGCTTTGCAAAGAGTTATACCAAAACAGAAGACAGCAGAGCCACAGAATGGAGGAGGGCCAGGTTCCTGAGCAGAACCACCCCTAAAGACAGTCTTGCCCCCTGACCTCTACTCTCTTTTTATTTTTATTAGGCACTAATGAGTTGACTCTAACTCATAGCAACCTGATGAACAACAGATCAGAACCCTGCCTTACCCAGTGACATCGTCACAATCTCACCCATGCTCAAGTGACTGTGTTGATTCATCTCATTGAGGGTCTTCCTTGAACTAGTAAATTTCTCCTTTTCCTTAACCAATCTGTCTGAAGTTTTTACCCTTTTAACTGATCAAATCTTGATTTTTAAACAAATGTTTACTGCTATGAAATGCAGGTCCTCACTTAAATAATGACATAAGTCTGAAAGCGTTCACACAAAAGGAGTTTCAAGAAAACATCAGATCACTACAACTAGGATAATCACAGATTCATTACAGATGGAATCAGAGTTGGGACTTTAAAGATCAATAAGGAAGTTTTTATCCCAAATTACAACATCATTGAGTTGTACCTGTGTACCAAGACATTCACTACAGGGTTCTTTTCCTCATAGTGTCCCACTCCCCTCAAAATAAGTCAGAAACAACCTGGCTCTGATCAATGGCCTTCCTACTACTTACATCTTTCAAATTAAGAAACAGAACTAATTCTACATAAAGATTCAGAAGTAAGAAAATGCAAAGTGTGTTGAGGAAACTAAGATCTCTGA